GTACTAGTACTTACAGAGTTGGGACGTCAAATCAGGAAAATGCGCATTTTTATATTTCTATTGCAAGTGTTAATGTCATGTGCATAACCTTTGCTGTAATAAATCGGTGATACACACATCTTTTTTCTATTTCATTTACGTGACTGAAAAAGCTCCTGTAAAACTCCACTGTGAGTGCAACTTAATCCTCAAAATGAACTTCATACCATCTTAGAGTTTTCACTCAGTCCCCGTCAAATATAAATGATTGCTGGTTACTGATATCTCGCAACCCCTGAAAGGCTGTAAAACGGCTGGATGAATCAGAGTATATTAAGCTGATAAAGAACAGACTAAAACTCTTGCTATACCTGGGCCTCCGCTCCAAGCAGGCGGATGCTCAAACTGAAAGGAAGAATTATATTACCTTGCATTTTTCTTCCAAACATGTCCACGCAGACGCTCAGCCTAAGCTAACTCCCTTTTCACATTTACACACTTACACACCCAACACTCAGCACACATACAGTATTTTCTATTCACTTTTCTCTAATACATCATTCACGCCCACATACTCAACACACACGGTTCCCGAACCTACTAAATCGGGTGATGACAGCGTACCGTAGGCCTGGGACCTTACATCTGTTCACTGCAGACGAATCTTCCTCTAATAAAATTCCATATTCCCGGTTGAGCCCAAAGTCAACCAGACACCTTAATGTTTACTAGTTCTACACCCTGCTGCAATAATGGTAATAGGAATGAAAATTATAGCGATAATAATAAGAATAGTAAAAATGGTATCGATAATAATAATAATGATAATGACATTTGTAATAATGATAAAAAAAATAATAATAATAACAATAACAATAAAGATGATTGCTACTATTATCATTACCATAATGGTAACTATAAAAAGTTTATATTACTGCAATTATAATTATTATAATGATAACAGTAATTCTACTACTTACAAAAATATTACAGTAATAGTAATAACAATAATAACTATAACATTAATGATAATAATGATAAGCATCATCATAAAAGTAACAACAATTACAATGTTATGATAGTAATAACAATAACGCGTTACTTCAGTTAAGTCAGGCCACAAATAGGTCGTTTTTGTCTGGACAATTTCCTGTATTCTACTAAACACAGAGCAGAGTGGCGCAGTGGAAGCGTGCTGGGCCCATAACCCAGAGGTCCGTGGATCGAAACCACGCTCTGCTAAACATCTTTTATAACTTTCACATTAGTCCTAGGTATAACTGTTACTTTAACAACCCACAGATTTCCAGTATTATCAGTTCTCCTCTGTTTACTTTCCCTTATTTCTCTTCTATTATTCTTTCTTATTGCCGTCGCCTTGAACTTTCTCAACAAGATCCTGGGGTACTGTTGGCGGGACCACGTGTCCAACCAACGGTTACACCGTGAGACTGGCACAGCTTTCCTCAAGAATGATCCTGCCCTGGGTGAAGGAGGCCTGTGGGACAACCTAGGATGCCGTGGTTTGTCAGGAACGTTTGTTCAAGCATTAAGGCTCTTAACATCAACATTGTTGTGGGAAACACGGACCCCGGTCTACCGGGGTCCCATATCAGCAGTCCCCTACACCCCAGTCTCTAAAACACCTGCAGCTCCATAACCAATGCATTGGAAACTATCGCAGAACTATCTTCTCTCAGTGTACCCCATCTGCCTCTATAGTGTTGGATCTTTGCAGGGAAATGATAGCGCTGAATGCGCTGCTTTCCCCAAACATGGAACAGTCGGTATTAGAAGTCTGTAGAGCCATCTTTTTTAGGTGGTAATTATCTCAAGCGAGACACGTCGTTGAGCTCCCCCTGTTTGTGTGACGTAATGGGAATGGCCGCAATTGACGGCCAGCTGTGTTACTATACTGTTTTTGTTTTGTTTTGTTTTCGAACGGTATACAGTATTTTGGAATCTAATATCCTGGATGGCTTTTGAAATCTTATTGTGGGGTTGTGCTGTGGTCTATATATTCAATATAAGTACGAATATGCGCGAAATATCCGTAGTATGCGGAACGTACACATACACACGCCTGCTCGATTCCTGCCGAGCGAGAGATTTCACGGTCTAAATATAATTTATATAGACCTTGAGAGGTGTCATGTTTGCCGTAACCGATGGAAAAGATGGCATAATTATTTGCTAACAAACGACCACCTAGATAGAATCCTAACGCAACACCCACATTTTGGAGGGTGCTAAGTTATAAAAGCTCTGTGTATTTCTTTTAGATTGATAGCGTAACCTGTGTCAGAAGTTCTCTGTAACCAGTTACATTTTGCACTAATAAAGCGTAATAAATTGTTTAAACAACAACAATCTCTCTCTCTCTCTCTCTCTCTCTCTCTCTCTCTCTCTCTCTCTCTCTCTCTCTCTCTCTCTCTCTCTCTCTCTCTCTCTCTCTCTCTCTCTCTCTCTCTCTCTCTCTCTCTCTCTCTCTCTCTCTCTCTCTCTCTCTCTCTCTCTCTCTCTCTCTCTCTCTCTCTCTCTCTCTCTCTCTCTGACTAAATTCTTCAAGGCAATAAAGCCAAAAGGATTTCAGCATATTCACATGTTCGTCCCTGTTGTTTTAAATATAATTTGCTAACCTTGTATACTGTAAATAGCATGAGGGGCAAGGCAGTTTAGCCAGATATCTACCTGTTTTAGTGGCAAGTGTTTAGTTTGGAGTGACATCTGTAACACAGTCATGTGGGGGTGACTCTTACTGCTCAAGGCATTTGTGTACATAAATTTGTATTTATTGTACTTAATTCTGTTTTACTACATATAGTAGGCAAAGATAAATATGGAATGAGTGAAGACGTGTAAAACAAGGGCAAAAGTATATACAACTTAAATTTTATTAAGAATGGTACAAATTACATCACTTAGAACTATAATAGCATTACACTAGCATTGTAACAACTGTAATGAGACAAAAGGATGCATTAATTCAAAATCTTTGATAATAACAATACATTGAAATCTCAATTGCAAATGTTGAATAAAGTGAATTCATTGGTTATTTTTATGTAGCTTCTTTGCACATGTAATTGTTATAATGAAATTTGCACCATAAAGAGAAGGCATTAAGCACTATTTTCTTCTATTTGGCAAAACATTACAAAGTTTTAGTTACCAAGGAACAATTAGATAAGGAGTTTATATATCAAGCGATATTTGTACTTATTCAAGTGTAGTGGCAGTATCCAAAGTTGAATATATCTCTTTATCTTATAGATTAAGATGGAGTAAAGATGCCAGGCTTCAATTTTCTTTGGATGAACAATTCTGGTAGAAATAACAAGAGCTATAACAATATCTATTCCAACTTTTAAATATTATGCAAGTTAAGGGGAGGAAATACATGACCACATTTACAGAAGCAAGAAAATTGTGAATTTAAAAGTGAAATCCCTCAGTAAAGTAAGTTTGTCAGTTCATCAAGAATAAAATATTAAAACCTTTTTCTATCATAATGCTGAAAAACTGCATTCCAACAAATTTAAGATAAAAGTGGAATTTGCTTTTATATTATAACAAATAATTACAGTATTCAACAATTTTTTAAGATGTCACAAGAAAAAACTAAGAAATTTTCATGGCTTGATATTCAAGCAAATAATCACCTGTAAATATATGTATTCACAAATTTCAATTGCAAATAGTTAAGTGTTCTTTTGCATGATTCCATCTTTTTGCATTGCTCAATCATTATGTTTATTTTAGAACACATATCATTTGGTTGATATAGGTTTGAATTGAAATTTTAGATCTTAGAATACGATTATAAAGTATAATTTTCACTTTATTGCCCAATTCTAGTAGGTGAAAGTGAACCAATAATTCTACAACAGTATAAATATCTAAACATGAGATATTGGAGGGGAGGAAGAGAATTACCGTAACATATTTTTGTAACAATTTATCAATATGGGATTTTGTAAAATGTAAAGTGCTCATCTACTAGCTAAATCATCTAGATGTAAGGAAGGGGAGCAAGAAAAAAGTCTTGTCAAGGGAACTTAAGAAGATGAGAATGAATAACGTAAGATCTAGCAAAAGGGTGACACAGGGCAGCTAAGCAGACTAACAATGAAGGAGTCAGGGAGACCCAATCACAAACATAATATAGAAGAGACATAAGAGGATGATAAGAATGAGAGAGAGTAACAAAACATATCAATGAAACGTATCCATGTTGACAAATGTAGAAAAGGTATGAGTGAGACTGGATATCTTCACAATACAAGAGATATATTTGACCGGTTTCGATTACGTCTTCATCGGAAATACATGTATTTCTGATGAAGACGTAATCGAAACCGGTCAAATACATCTATTGTATTGTGAAGATATCCAGTCTTATTCATACCTTTTCTAAAAAAACATATCAAACAGGATACTATAGGAACCATTACAGTCTATTAGGTGAAATGAAGAGAGACTAAGGTCGGAACAAAAAGAACAAATGTGAACTTGAGAAGGACAGTGTCCCTCAGTAACAGTGGTGAATAATCCTATGCTGAAGAAAAGGTTAGAAAGGCTATAAAAGCAAGAAGATTGAAAGTCCTACATATAGGAAAAGGGTAGAAAAAATAAGGTTCACTGTTCTATAACTGACAATGGGAAGACAGAAAAGCTAATACAGGTGAATGATAGAGAATGAGAGGAAGACAAAAGAAGTTGGGATTCACTTGTTTGTCTTTTTTTTTTTTTTTATTTCCAAACTCAACATATTTTAAGCAACCACGAATTCTATTCCAGTGTCAAATACTTGACAAATATTAGTACTCCATTTTTCTCTTTACATTTTACCCCAATTGTACAAAATTTCTATATGAGTGATCATAAAATTGAACGAATCTTCTTGGCTTAAAACGTGTTTTTTCACGTCTTGCCTTGTAATGACCTATTACAACAGAATGCTGACTTTTCTCTTACTTTTGCAGTCGATAAATAAGGCTCTTGTGTAAACAGAGACCAAATTAGCAAAATCTGAGTTTATTTTCTAGAAAGTCTACATAAAGCCAATTATTTGGAATTCAAAATATTCTAGTTTTTTGCTGTTACTTGATGCATTCACTTATTTTATATAACTTTCTATTCAATGTTCTTCGTCAAACCAATTTCTTGTATGAACCTCAATTTTCTTAACGAAAATAAGAGTGCACTTCTATCAAGTCCTTGGCTGCAGTATGCCATCTTTATTGTAATTTAGATTATAAAGTTATATTCCAATGACAATGAGATCAAGTAAATGTGAAAAAGGCTACATTGCTCCTCACATATTGATAGATCAACTGACAGAAAAAAGTTCTCTAATACAGGTAGACATTGTCAGATTTCATAGACAGAAACATGTAGTTTATTTTTAATTTCTCTTTTCACATGATGTATGTCTATAAGAGAAAGGATATCTGAAATGTATCCAAATCACAGGACTTACATATCTTCAAATGCTACCTAGAAATCTGAATATAAATGTTATTGTATATCACTGGAGTGTAAAAAAAATAAATAAATAAAAAAGTTTTATCTTGATGTGTATTGATATCCAAATAAAAGTCAGTTAACTATCCAACAGAGTTGAAAAATGGGTGAAACACAGTACAGTCAATGCACACACAAATAAATTAAACCTTATCATATTAACACATGAAATGAGGTATGTTCTAGATCAGTGTCTAGGAATTCAGTAGCACTACATGCAGAATTGAAGAGATACAAGAGAGACTGGTATGCACAGCACTTTCAACACACAGAAACTGCTTATGCAACCAAAGAAATATCCAGAACAGGAAGCAACTTCAGAACATATAACACTTACAAAATGGGGAGACACCACTTACAAAACTGTAACTATAAATGGCAGAAACAATACTGAATTTCTTTGAAAACTTTTTTTTCCACACAATTACATAAAATTCTCCATCAACCATATTCCACTTCTGCACTCTTCTCTCTCACCCTCAAAAGCATATAGGTATAGAGAGAGAAAACTTTATGAACAGATAAAGAACAGCAGTGTAATTCTGAAGAAAAGCACAGTGTTATTCTGACAAACTAAATACACATTAGCCTGGCCTGGTTTGTTAAGCAAATACAAAGAAAAAAAGGCTTTAAAAAAAAATCTATCCCTTTATACAGTCCAAAAATGATTTCAAATACTTACAGTTACCAAATTCATTGTGACCAGATCAAGACTAGCATGCAACAATGTAGGTCAATTAACCTCATTTAAATGCTATTATGTCAACTTACAAGCCATCGAGTGAATAATTTTGAATCCAATATACAAAGGAAGACACTAGAGACACGTACCTTAAAATTACTGATTAATTTAGATGGTTATATTATCAGGTAATTTATCAAACTTGGCTACAAAAAACTTACGGGATTCCTTATGAGAAAGGTATGCTTAAATGACTCCCATTATATCCAGTAATCTTTCTACAAGCTTCAGCATAGAATCAATTTCTCCAAGATTAACCCAATGCTGCCAGGGATGGTATTTACGTACATGCTGTGCCCACTGCGTTTCATTTATCAATTGTCTCTACACATAAATGGCTCCAAAAGTACAAATTCACTAATGCGCCAGTTACTATTATTACTTAAGTCTTTCCTTGATTTTCAGCAACATTTTTTTTATCTTATGTTGAAATCAGTAATGTAAATAACATAATGTTTATAATATAAACAACACTGATATTAATGGCATTTGGTAAAGAAAAAAGAAAAGAAAAAGAATCAAGCAAAAACAAATCAGGTGAGGTCACAAGGTCTACTAATGGACTCCTTAGTGATCAAGTAGAAGTGGAGCCATCTTTGCGGAGTGACATTTCACGAAACAATACTACAGTGAACAGCATTTTCCAGGCGACATTGGGTTAAAAGAATAAAACTAAAAATGCTGCACCTCCAGAAAGTTCAAACTTTCTTGCAAGCTCAGAGTGCACATTCAAGAGACTAGTATTACTTAGGAAAGATAAGAGAAAGATGTAATTTTCAGTCTGAAAGGGCTAGAAGTTTTACTTGTATCTTCCAACTACCCAAAATAGTTGCTCATGGTCAGGCATAATATGTATTTAATTCATATACCTTTAAACATTATGTTTGGAAGAAAGGAAACAGAAAAATAAAAAATAGAAACAAAAGAAAAAAGAACCCAAACTCATTACTAGACCCTACAAAACAGTTCCCTTTCCTTTCTTGCAATATACACACAAAGGTCAATAATATAAGGTGGAAATACCAAGTAACAAATCATATTTGTCTGAGTTTTGTTAAGATCTCTATGAGAGATTCTGAAGACCCTTCCAAATATATCTTTAATGAATGATGACTAAAACGAATTTTGCACATTAAGTGGAAGAAGAGTTTTTTATCTACTTGAGGTAAAGATATAGACAACACATTAAAGATTACAAACCATTACATATATCGGATGAACACAAATGTGTCACAATAACCCATACCACATAGAGTTCTGGACAGTGCTAACAATCCACAATTGTTAACCTCTGAGCACTGTCACTGCTAGAAACTGAGAACAATCATTTTACAATTCTGAATATAAGAAAAGGGTTTTGTTCCTGTACGAATGCTAACTTTCATATCCATTTAAAATGCTCTCCTCACAGATTCTGACAACCTTGATTTGGAAATAATCATTTGTTATATTACCAACTTTCTAGTAGTTAAATTCTGGACTGTCAATATAATGGGGATTGATTTCATTTCCTACACCACAAAATTATACACGAAATGCTTGTTATCGAACCATTATTCTGCTCTTTTATAAACTGCACCATTCAACATAAGTAAAAATACACAACTGGTGAAGATGTGATGAGCACAATCTTTCTAAGGAAATGCTCCCATCCATAAACAAAAGCCCCTTCTAATGACATCTTACAATTAGTAAGTGCTCCTACCAGAAAATGTAAAATCAGTGAGAATGCTTGGAAAGCTGAAGTAAATGACAACAGAATTCACTGTCATTTCCTGCAGCAATTTACTTAAGTCCACGAACAAATGCCGATAGGTCTGAGCAACTTCCATGTATAATGCTAGGTAAAATGCAGACATAAGGTTTGAAAAAAGACTCTTTTGAAGGATAAAAAGAAATTATTCACTTATAGTGGAAATACCAATGCAATTCTTACACATGTCATTATTTGATTTACTACAGACAATGCAGTAAAACCCATGAAAGTCCATTTATCTAACATGTATTTGCAAGTTCCCCTTATTCCTTGCTCCGTGAATCAAGGAGATTAAAACATCTTTTTCTTATTAAAGCTACTATTGTTTTTGGCTCTGTGAACTCCATAATTTATCTATCAACAAGGGTTCTCTAAATATAGAAATATTCATCTTTTAAAGAGCTCAAATCTAAAATCATTATAGCATTTTTGTTGAACTATGAGGTTATGAAGAAGTCAAAGTGCTGTATCATGCAGCCACTTGCCAAACATTATATTCCTTCACCTGAGGTAAAACTGACAATTTTAGAGTCATTAATGCACACTAATCACCTGCAGAATTACACTTTATTTTCAATAAAAGATACTATTTACAGTGTCAGTGATTTAGCACATATAATAATTTACGAGTGTGGATCTTACACAAGACACTAATACTCCTTTCCACTGGTTGCAAATGAAAAGTACCACAAATTCAAGAGAACTAACTCTCCCCATTTCCTTCCTCTCTGTGCTTCCAGTTCTTAAAGTGGAGGACATTTTCTTTATATAATTATTAAAAAAAATAAGTTATGCAGAAAATGTAATAAATTAATACTACATAAAAAACAGAAATAGTCTAATCTATGTTTTGCTACATCAATTATACAACCAAACCTGATATTTTAAGTGATGATTCCTTTTGATGGATGGCATAAGAAATACTGACATGCTATGTGGTACTGTACCAAGTGCCTGACACAACCAGAAATGCTTTACAAGTATAGAAAAGGAAAGTGCCGTTATTTCCACATTTCTGCAATTACATGTTTGACACCAAACATGTTGTGCTACTACTCGCTGGTCTAGTCAAGTTCTTCCTGAGTGGTACTTAATTGTTCCTCGCCCTCTAGGCTTGAGGAAGAGGGTTGAGAGGAGGAGAGCTGTGATGTTGAGGAAATTGACATAGGAGTTGATTCTTCCATCTCAGCCGTTTGTTCAGGTACAGTTTCCTCCTGGACGACTGGTGCTGGGGGAGGCAGAGGTCTGTGAACTGTGAATGGCGTGTCTCTACGTCGGTACAAGAGTAGGTATGCTTGCTCATTTACGACTCGAGATTCTGGGCAGAAATTCACTCTGCTGTCATCAAACAACCTCCAGTCTGGAAAAGTAAATTAACCAATTTCCAAATAATGATGATGATGAAAGTGATAAAAGATGATAATCCAACTGAATAAACCAATCAACATTAAATTTAAGATCAAAACAAATATGAAATACTGCACAAAGAAAAAAAAATACACGTACCAACTTCCGACTGTCTGGAGTCTTGTTTTGCTGTGGTGCGAGCATATGCAGTGTAATGACCTCCAAGCAGGCGACCCATGTGATTAATCACTCCATACAAGTCATAAATTGCAGGCCCGTCTTCAGGCTCACACGACATGTATGGTTGTACATTTAACCCTCTGGGGAAAAAAAATATATAAAATATATAAATAATAACAACAAATGTTCAAACAACCAAAAAATATCAATCCGAGATGAGCAAATGAGGTTAATTTAGGTTTTCATAATCAGAAAACATCTTGAATGTCACAAAGATGAGGAAACTTTTAATGCTTTAAATAACTTACCTTACTGGGTACTGGACGAACTTGTCAATCTTGTCGGAGTAGAGGACATATTTGAAGGAGAACCTCTTGAGCTGGATTATTAAAATATGAGGGAGTCTCCAAATACTCATTTGTTTAGTTGCTTCTACAGGCATTTTGCATCTGCAAAACATATTAAGAGTAACAGTTATGTAAAAAAAATAGCAATAATAACTACAACATTAACTTTAATAATAATAATAATAATAATAATAATAATAATAATAATAATAATAATAATAATGATAATAATAATGATAATAATAATGATAATAACAATAATAATAATAACAATAACAATAACAATAACAATAACAATGATAACAAACGACAACGACAACGACAACGATAACAATAACAATAACAATGATGATAACAACGACAACGATAACAATAACAATAACAATGACAACAACCAACGACAACAATAACAATACCAATAACAATAATAATAATAACAATAAAAATAATAATAATAACAATAACAATAACAACAATAATAATAATGCAGGTAAACTCCTGCTGCCATATACTTCATAAAATAACAAAGTAAAATTCTTATAAAACACCAACTTCTTCCTTGAAATCATGGTAATTCCAGAAACAGATATTCCTTTTCCAGTGAGAATCCACAATAAATCTTCAGAACTCACCTTGGACAGCGCCAAGAATCTCCCTCTGATAAATTTTCAGGCTGTGTAAAGAGATCAATGCATGCCTCCAGGCTCGTCTGCTGGTTCCGCTGCACTGAATATGAACCTTCAACTTCACAGTCCACCTGTGTTAAATTGTGCATTAGAAACAAATCCAGGAAGTGAAGTGGGAACCAGAATGCAAGGGTGTTTTAGCAAGGCACCTGAGTAAAGAAATTACAATTTATGTTAATGACTACTACTGTAATCAGCAATGTGAAAGTATATATGGAAAAACCAACCTCTTTGTTCTGAACAAGACAGTGGACAGGCAGCCTTTCATTGGTTCTCCAATCCATAGCTAGGTAATACTTGTCACTCAGGTCCAAAGGCTCATCACCTGTTAAGATAAGTATCATAATTTCATTAAAAATGATACAGACGGAGATCAATGCCATAAGTAAGTAATTCAGGAGAATTAACAGAGACTATAGTTCAACATCCCTGAATAACATTTAGGGAAAGAAGTCTTTGCCCACTAAGGAATTCAGATCAGATGTTACACTATATATGATAAACAAAACATTGCACTGTAAACTGAAGAGAATATCTGTAAATGAAGAGCTAAAAATATCAATAAAAGATCTTTTATCTATTATCAGCAAGCGAAAGAACTAAAGAAAAATATCCTCTTGAATGAACACCACCTTTCCCTAGTGAAAAGACTCCTGTGACTCCCATCCTCATGTCTTACCTTTATCCTCTAAAGTCTCCCCATTAGGAGCAGGCAGGTTCTGAGCCCGGTTGTTGACTGGCCTTATAACAAAAAGTTGAGTTGCAGATGGTAACTGGAGGCTTCCTCTTGGCTGGACTGCCCGGACACTGGGAGAAGACGAGAGCTGTGGAGGCTCATCACAGCCACTGTCACCACCTCCATCACTGCCTCCTCCTTTGTCACTGCTGCCTCCCCCATCAATGCCTCCTCCACTATCTGCAGCTCCAGCATCACTTCCCCCTGCACAGTCTTCCGGCCACTGATTCTGCATATCTCCCTGAGAACTCTCACTGGCCATCAGCACATCACTGTTCTCCCCTCTCTCCTCATTGCTGCCATCTTCAACCTAACAGAAGAAATGTCATAGAATATAAGGTTTCTTATGTGAGCATCTGATGCCGGTTGGGATGCTAGATAAAAAACAGATCATGACATTAACCATAAATATACGAATAATGAAAATTAAACAGCATTAAACAATTCAGATCCTAATATGTCAGTGTATTAAAAATGTGTTTGTTTCAAAGAAGAATAAACGTGCAACAGAATGCCACTAGACCACAAAATATTACAAAATACTTTGAAAAACTTTTCATTCAATAAATTTTTCATCCACTTATTCTTATCTAAAAATACTACTGTAGCAGAAAATATTTATTAAATTAAGAAAGTACATTTAACCTAATGCTGATAGTAGCTTCCCACACCAAAATGCATCACATGCTGGGCAGTGTATTCCCATCCTCTATGAGTTTTGCTACAGCATATACTGTTGCCCAGTAAATGACACCCATTAGTGTTTATTTATTCAATAAATGACACTAACCATATAACAAAAAAAAAAGAGCAATGAACAAATCTAACCTTTACAGTAATTTCTTCTAGACATTAAAAAAAAAAATTATTGGTACTTCATTGAATTCACAATTAAATTAGCAATGATTAACATAATAATAAACTTTTACCTCCATGTCATCATTTTCTTCATTTGAGAGGTCTATGCTTGAGGCACTCCCTCTGTGGGACGAATCATGAGAAACGGGAGGCTGGAAGATATCGACCGAATAACGAGCATAGGCTTCCATGATTCTTGTTAAGCGGGAGTAGGTGGCGTGGCTTTCGGGGAGAGACAGGATAAAGGGGCAACCCACTGGCTCAGGTACCAGCTTGCAGTGTACCTATAGCAGAAAGTATCACTGAATCACCTGTCGCCTCAGACAATGATTATGGCTTATCATTGAAGTTTATAAAGTTGATACAAAAACTCACAAGGAATCTTATCTAGACAGTTAACACTCTTGTTTTCTAATGTTCAAAAAGGTTTCTTGGTATCCGAGATCCACAAAATCTCGGATACCTAATTAATTTAAAGGTAATTAACCTTTAAATTAATTAGTAAAATTTGATTAAAGCAAGAAATCAGTAAATAAATTTCCATTCTACAACTAAACTTCTCACTTGGGCCATTAAAACCTAAAAGACATAACTAAGACCCATAAACTTCAAAAATACAAACCTTATGATTCAACCAATGATTTTTCTGGCAGGCCTGGTGACAATACCCAGCTCTGAAACACTTGGTACAGCGTCGTAGCTTGGTCCCAGGAGCAGCACTTCTAGAACAGTAAGCGCAGCGGGTGGGGGGGTTGGGAATCATCATGCGCTGTACCACTGCTACTTCCACTACAGGCTCTCCAACCTTAAAAAGTGAAGAATATTTAACAAAACAACAATAGTAAATCAAAAAATAATAAGTTGTAAGCCAAACAATATGGTAGGAACATCTTAAGATGTTTTGGTTTTCTTTTTCTTCAAAAAAGGCTCATGGGTCATCAGATTATGTCTTAAAACTTAAATATCTAATTTTTCCTCAGACTTAAGACATGGAATATCATTCTGCTTTACATTACATCAGAATCAGATAAAATGAGAAAAAGCAATACTGCTAAGCCTTACCTGATGCTGACTATAGACTTCGTAAGCCATGAGTGTATCACTGGGAACAACAGATGATAGGGAAGCCTGTTTGACAAATATCTTATGGATCTTCGATTTGAACATTTCAAACACCTGAAAAAAAAAAAAAATAGATTAAGTGCTTTGAAAATAAATTCCTTGAGGCTTATGCTAGTTTTGGAAAAAACAGGCAAAATTTTTAGCAAAGTTAATAGAATTCTTTACATCTAGTCATCAGAAAGATGAAAGAAAGGTGGAAATATAAACCTAAATTTATTCTAGTATCTTTCCCATAACTGAGTAGTATATGAAACCTTCAAAACTTTTGCAAAGAAAGAAAATTTAAATTAAATCATAATACTGCTCACATGTATGTATATCTATATCTCTATAAATAGGGCTATATGAGTATGAGTATGAGTGTGTCTGTGTATGTGTATGTGTATGTGAGTGTGTATGTGCTGTGTATGTGTATGTGTATGTGTGTGTGTGTGTGTGTGTGTGTGTGTGTGTGTGTGTGTGTGTGTGTTGTGTGTGTGTGTGTGTGTGTGTGTGTGTGTGTGTGTGTGTGTGTGTGTGTGTAAGTGTGTGTGTGTGTGTAAGTGTGTGTGTGTAAGTGTGTGTGTGTAAGTGTGTGTGTAAGTGTGTGTGTGTAAGTGTGTGTGTGTGTGTGTGTGTGTGTGTGCATGTGAGCGTGTGTGTTTGCGCGCGTGTGTGTGCGCACGTGTTTGCGTGTGCGTGTGCGTGTGCGTGTGCGTGTATGTGCGTATGCATGTGCGTATGCGTGTCTGTCTGTCTGTAGGATGAACAAGAAAAAGACTAAGAGTCATGTTCAACTGTAGAGCTCAATTCGAACAGATACATTTACAAGGCAAAGAACTTGAGGTAGTGGACAAGTACATATATCAAGGGCAACTCGTATAGATAAACACATCTAATGAAGAGGAAATAAAGCTACGCATCAGTCTAGGCTGGAGCACCTTTGGCAGACACAGTAGCACACTAAGAGGTTCCTTGCCATCGTGTTTAAAAAGATAAGTCTAACCAGTATGTCCTCCCAGTTATGACCTATGGATCAGAAACAGACTACAACCAAATTACTGGAGAGGAAACTAAAGAGTGCCCAGAGAGAGATGGAAAGGTTGATGCTGGGAATTAGCCTAAGAGATCAGAGGAGGGCAACATGGATCAGGGAACAGACAAGAGCGGAGGATATACCTGGGAGCATCAAAAAGAAGAAATGGCAATGGGCAGGTCATACATGTCAGAGACTGGACGACAGATGGACAAAAAAAGTAAAAGACTGGACTATAGATAACATAAGAGGCTAATGGCCAAACTGATGACAAGATAGCATGACGAAATAACAAAATTTGGGGCCAAGACTGGAAACAAAAAACACAAGACAGAAAAAGTTGAAAAAGACTGGGAGGTCTGCGTCCTGCAGTGGATTGATTCAAGCTGATGATAATGATGATGTATCTATAAATCTATGCAATTAGCAATGATAATAAAAATAGAAGTAACAATATTAATGCTAACAATAACAATATCATTAAAAAACAACAATAATGATAATAACAGCAATATAAAAACAAACAAAAAAACAAGAATAACTATAAAATAATAACAATAACAATAATAATAACCACAAATTTTAATAAGGTAGGTAAAGAAAGTAGCTGCTACTTGTTCAAGACACATCCTTACCTGAATACAATTTGGCTGAACTTCTGTAAGTTCTGATAATTCATTCTTCAGTTCTTCTACTCCAGCATCTGCACACACTCTAATAAAGAACTTCTTGGGTTTCTGATAAGGATCTTTCCAGAAAAAGATCACTTGGATGATCTTCAATAAGAGAGGAAAAGTAATAGCATTAATTCCTACAGTAATAACAGAACAGTCTGCAAGTACCCTATGTCTTTTGATAGCCAATATAATAAAGACCGTGATCATGGGGCCACTCTTTATTTCATGCCATTTTAACACATCTATATATATCCAATGAGCTTTAGATAACCCATCTAAACTTACAACTAAATTTTTCTCATAAAAACGGACACTTACCTTCTGATCTTTTGGTATCGGGACAGACAGACAGCAAAATTCGTCAAACTTCACTGAAACTTTATTACACTGATGACAAGTAAGGGTAGACTTGAACTGGCCTTTGAAGAGGTCATCGATAATAGAATCATTACGCATCTTATGCAGCTTCCATGATTCGCCTGCAGCCTTGTGATCTGGCCATCCATCCAGATCTGGAGGCTCGGCTATGTAAGGCTTCTTCTTAATACGGTTCAAATCCTGGAAAGATTTCAATCATTTCTTATAACAAGAGAAGACAAACGAAATTACATATCAAAATAGTTTACATAGATTTTTACCCCTATCACTTCCTCATTCTTACCTCATGTAAACCATCTAACAGCTCAACCATGAACTCCTGAGCATCATGCTGGGCAAAACCAGAAAACTGATTGGCCTTCATTGACATCATGGACTTGAGTTTGGTGGGCGCGTGAGACCTCAGTGACCCGGACCACAGAAGCTTCATGAGAATGGCAAAGGACACAGCCAATTTCCCTCCCATGCCCAAGGGATTATCTTTGTTGATATCCTGCTGGAAATTTGAATCTGAAAATGCAGTTGAAAATTCAAATATGCAAACTCTCTAAAGGTCAAAACAGAAGGCAAAATACACAATATTGATACAACAAATGTGTGCTTTTATGCTAAATAATAAACAAATCATGATGATGATAATAAAAATAAAAACAACAATTACAATGATAATAATAACAATTAAAACCAATATTAACACCACTACCACTACCACTACCACTACTACTACCATTACCATTACCCCTAATACTAATACTACTTTTTAAAAAGTGAATCATCCTAACACATATAGAATAGCTAAAAGGTGATCAAACTTATTCAACTTTGTAAATCAACATTCCTAAATTTAAATAATTACAGCATCAATACTTTTCTTCATCCTGAAAATGGAAAAGCTGTAAAATACCTCTGCTCATTTGCCAACTGGATAATTGGTAATGAAAACTGCACAGAAACTTCTTCAATACCTAAGAAATATTCCCTGAGTTCTTGAGTGTTGACTAGGCACTGCAGAACACTGTTCATGAAGCAAGTGTTGCCTATGTTATCTAGACCAGTAGTTCCTCGAGGGGTAACTGTACCACCTCCATCACACACATTTGACGAGGAAGGGTAGTTGGTTGGTGGGCTGCCGCGCATTCCTTTGGTCACGGGAGACACTAAGCACATGGGTTTCTGAAAAGGTTAGAGATCAATTAATGCTCATTCAAAGATTGCAAAACTGGATCTTTCTTCCCTACAGTACTGCCTGAAACCATATATACATTCAAGTATGGTAAAGTTTAACAAATGTGTCCCTTGTACCATACCTTGCTATCTGTTGGGGTTGGTGGTGTTGGTGGTGCAGGTGGGATATTGGAAAGACTTGGGGTTTCCGACTTGCTTGCCGCCATCCATGTATTTTTGACAACTTTGTTACTTCCTACAAATTTCATAGAAATAGAAGATATAACAGGAAATGCCAAAATGCAGACAAGTGAGAAGCAATACTAATATCTTCAATCTAAGCAAAGATCATCAATCTTCAATGACACACTTCTAAACAAGTCCACATATTCATCATTCACTCTTGAACTCCTTTTACATATATCTTTAAAAAGTACAACTCATAAATTTCCATTTCAATGCACAGGTCATTTTACCATATGAAAACAAAAATATCCTCTTTCATATCAAAAGAATAAAAAAAATAATACTAATAAATAAAATTATAACATTTGAGCTCACCAGTCTCAGGTGCAACAGTTGTTGGAGAGCCCCACTTTTTTTTGGTTTGCTTTTTAAGCTTGATTTCTATATTATTTGCATTAATCTTGAACTTGCATTCATCCAGGACAACTCTATCTTTAAGAGTCAAGTACCACCCAAATACAGATTCTTCATTTGAGCCCGGGTGTTGCTGAAGAAATCGCGTATCACTGGAAGAGGAGTTATGAATATTGTAAATGAAGTTTAGAAAGACAAAAACATTTAGGCCTAAATTGCTGTTGCCCTCAGGCATAGAAGGACCAAATATAGTTTTGTTTCATCTTTTTTTAACTTGTTTTCCTGTTCACTTTTTCTACTTGAGTTTTAGATAAGTAACTGTTGACAAGTCACATAAAAGCAGAGTAATTCTCCTCTATCAGAAATTCCAAAGCTGTTACATAATATACTTATGGCATGTATATGTCATTGGAGTTGAGATAAGAAATCATGACAGTTGACAGTAAATTTTTAAAGGATCTATTCCAAAATGAGTTATAATTCAGGTCACCCATTACTTTAAATTAGCAAGAGGTATATGTACTATAACACAAAAATCTCTGGTGGTGAACTCCGTTTTTATAAGTACCATGGTTAAAAATCAAAGGTAGTATAACCACATACCAGTATTTCATAATCAACATGTTACTTTATACAAATCCTTAAGCTAAAAGAATATTTCTCCAAAATAGAACATAACTTGTGACAAAGAAAAACAAGAAAATAATTGGACCAATGTTCTACTCTTTTAACCACTACGATCCGGATGACGTTACGGTCTAGTCATGGAAAATCTGGGTCGAGAGCCGGGTGACGTGAACATGCCATACATCAGGCAAAATAGCCACAGGCCGGGTGATATGAACTTGCTGTCATGAGCAAAGTCTGGGTGACAAAAGACTTGCCACAAGTGCACAAACCTCTTGGGTGTGATTTGACTCTAGTGCTTAGAAAGGGGCTTTGGCATTATTCCCATCAATAAACAAGACTCTAAACCCGTCTCTGACTCTTTAGATTCATTATTCCCATCAATAAACAAGTATGGTATGTAACGTGAATAAGCCATGATTGGAAGAGTACTGGCTCAGGGAGGATGCCATTTCCATGCTGTGCACCATATTCCTGGCTACTGTGACTGGCAGCGAAGGTTGTACTATGGAAAATCTAAAACTAGGGAAAAAATGAGATATATGACACCAAATTCTCCATACTTTTTTTTTTTGCACTGAGTCATCTACTATACAGAGAGACGATATAGAGTCTGTGCAAGGAAAAATGAGCTATTACCATCTGGATAATGCAAATAAAAAAATATAAAAATGGCCAATAGGCTAAAAGTTTACACAAAATAACTTTGCAAAGGGGAGAAACAGTCTTGTCACCGCTCATGGGAGTTCACGTGCACCCGTCCTACACACCACACACCCAGGATGTTGGCTACTTACGTAACCCACTGCCCATATTTTCGGCACCTAGATTTCCGTGACGCAACCGGATCCAACAAGTGAAGAGTGCATACCCAAAATAGACAAAACCTCACTACATACCTTGTAGAGAATCGTGCAGTCACAGAATCTTCAGTGAACTTAAGATAAGAAGTTTCTTTATTAACATTTTTCACATAGAGAAATATCACTAGGAGAGACTCTGCATCTCTCTCTACATGGTCAGTCTTGATATTTGTGACTGGAATGACATTATTGTCAACTTTGTCGTCAAAGTCTTCCTTTTCAGCATTTTTGCCCGGAGATGGTGATGATGATTTTACTCTGCTGGTAATAATTCTTTCGGGGGTTTTCTTGGTAGGCTTGGGGTAAAAAAAAAAATAATAATAAATAAATAAATAAATGATGATTTGAAATCTTTCCATATCCCAAGAAAACAATATTGCTTTTTTTATTAGAAAGCTAGTTACATAAATATCTAATTTGATATGGAATAGGCCTAAATGATAACCCTTGACATTATCAAAGGACCACGTTAATCTGGTACTAAGCTGATAAGTATCTAATCAGTTCAAGTTCCCAGCTAAACATACTATAACACAGATAAAATAATGCGGGAAGCCTTAGAGAGATACAGAAAAAAATGATCTTGACTAATCATTCTTACCTCTAGTTGAAGCCATTCTATGTTGGGGTCATTTTTCAGGAGTTTTATAATACATCGAGGTCCTTTGAAGGAGATGGAAGTTCCCTCAGGTACAATGGTTTCATAGAGTTTGGTAGAGAACTTCCTTCCATCGAGCAGGGACACAGACAGTCGTGTCGGCTCAGTGTGGATATTAACAGTTCGGTTGTCATGACCTGGACCCACCAGTACTGACACTGCCACTATCTCATTCTTTTGGGTCCAGTCAAAAACTAAATCATTGGATATGGAATTTCCTGAAATATCAAACCATAATTAAAAATTGTATCTAAACTTGTAGTGAATAGGAAAAAAAAGTTCAAATTTGATAACCACAAAATGCATTTTAAATACTATCATACAAGCATATTTTCTAAGGCTTAACATCCACATTGGTTAGTGCAACAGTATGGAAAGTCTCTATAAAATACCTGAACAAACAAATAAAACATGAAAAAAAGGAGAACATACGGTTTTCCCTGTCCTTCTTCTTTTTAGTTGAAGTTCCTAAATCTTGCTTGTGTTGATGTTGCTGCTTTTTACTAGACGGCTCCATGGTGTCGTCTTCGGTTGACGAGCACCGTCTTTTCCTGTCACCACTGATGTGCACCGTGGATCAAAACCAACCTGTACATCAGAGAAAAACAATATTTAGCAAGTCGGTTCAAACATTAACCCACTCACGCCGGGTACATTTTGTAGCCAAAATTTTAAAAATCCGGGCGGCTACAAAATCGGCGGCGGAGCTTCCCGGAGTCTGTCCGCGGCCGCCTGTTAGACAGCATCGCACTGGCGGGCAGCCCGACATTGTTTATTTTTTCCCTGTGTCTCATATATGTGACACCCGGGACGAATGGGTTAAAGGTTATATCAACTTAAATATCGTTACCTTCTCACACGTTTATCTAATATTTGCAAAAATATAAATACATATAGATACATATAGACAGACAGATGGCTTTGTTACTGAGACTATGTAAATATAGTAATGAATTCAATTTGAATACTATATCCACTCACAAGTTCAGTACGGTTATGATCAGAAATTTAAATTTGGATATTAAAACTTATAGAAACAAGAAAACGCTCACACTTGGAAATATTTTTATGAAAGAAACCTGTTATAAGTTCAATTTTAAAAATTGTATATTTTCACTGAAATAGGTTAAGGTTTCACTACAATTTTTTGAGTATATCATGAAAACATAAAAAATTGCTGTAAGTAATATATTTAAGTATTACTTTTGTACATCTTAGATATCAAACAGCAAATTTGTGGCTGAATCAGAAAGTTTATCCATTGATAACCTAAATAACATTTACTCATTATTTCTATATTTCAGTAGTTCTAAAGAGAAGCTTTACCTATTATATTGCATTTTTAAACACCACTCCGGACACTACCACTCAAATGCCTTCTATTACAACATAAAATTTTTTGGTAACTTTACTGAACAGGACAGCATTCTCGAAAAAAAAAAAAACATGAATGTTTACTTATATGCAGGAGAGTGCCCACTGTGGTGCTGCTGCTTTCCCTCCGCACATTATGTGTCTGTGCATGGATATACAAACACATTTGTGTATGTATATATAAACCCTTGCAAATATATGCAAGCATGCAATTATATATAAATGTGCTCAGAAAGAGTGGAGGGTTTGGTTTCAGCATGTGCTAAAAGCATTCAACTCCTTTGGCAGGTAAAACCCGATTGCCTATGCAGGCCCAGGGCGGCAGACCTGGGCCCTGTAAGGCTGCTTGTAGGCACTGATCCCACTTAATCTTTACAGTAAGGAAGCACTAAGCTTGGGCAAACTGAGGAAAGTTTTCTTGGAGAGGGCAAAAAGTTGCAATCGTTAATATGTAAAATAATCTGCAGATATGAATCGTAACACCAATCATAAATGAAAAAGATTGTGATAAGGACCACTCACAGACTAAGTCCACCTGGTACTCTCAAGTTTCAACTATCTTGCCATGTATACTGAGGTGAAAACAATGTTACCCCCCTAACAACCCTCCCATCTGGCAGTACCCAAACTGCACACCCAGGCACGGTATCTTTGATTGCTGAATAGATTTTCTGATATGGAGTTGGGGCTTTAGTCTCTAGAGAGTGCACTATATAGTTAAAATTTAAACAGTATACAACTGGCATGCAGAAAAGAGCTTCCACACTAATACAACCTGGCAACTTCTGTCACTGTGATCCAAGAATGAGACCAGGTTGGAAAACCTGCAAATGCTCAGTGATACCGTTCTTAACCAGTTTTGAAATATATCTAATATCCTTTTTGCTCACACCCAATTTTCTTTCTTGCAGATATTTGAATTCCAACATAACCAACACACAAAAAAAAAAAGTCCATCCACATTTCAAAACAATCATGAATAATATTCACAATTTAACCCACTTGCACCAGGTGTCACACATGTGACACTCGGAAAAATAAACACTGCCAGCTGTCCCACTGGTGCGACACTAGATCAGAGCTTGCGCTTCAATTTTGTTGCCTGTGGCAGGCGGCACACTGGTAACAGTTACAGCAACTTAAGATTGATAAGTAAATTTTGTGATATGGAATTGGGACTTAGTTTCTAGCAAATGCGTCCATACTATAAAGATTTACACAATCACTTAATTATCAAGTCACTTCAGAAAATCGTTATCAAAAGCGAAAAACAATAACTGTTGTTCAAAACATCTTGGTTGTTTGCACTATAAATGTCCTTTGCTTGCAGATCACAGCCCATACATTGTCTTTGCTTGCTACATCGCATCTGCAAAAAACAATTTCCAACCAGGGAATGAGATACCGAGCTACAGTGGACGGAATGAATCGGACTGCAATACATAAGCAAAATCATACTGTTAGCCATCGTCACAATAGCATTTGCATGTAAACTATGACAGTTGTAGGCAACCATTAGATATCGATAGGTCATTTCATGGTCCTTTATTGATGTTATCAAAGGGTATTTTTGTGTTTGTCAGTTGCAGGTATTAACTATGCATCATAGGAGTTACAAAACCTAAGCAGCACATTAAATAAGAACACATGTATGATAAAATACTGAATGTTTACTTTCGAGCTGGTTGCATGGTGGGCAATGAAGGCCTCGGAGGTTCCAAACAGCTCCGCTGTCCTGCTGGTCCTGACAAGACGTCTGGACATGTAAAAAAAGGAATTCCGACCACAGCATCAATACACCCACACAATGTGGAGATTTTTGGCAGCATTTGCTGGTGAATGAATCCTTGACACCACACTATCATGAGATGCGACTTGACATCACTGTACAAAGCCAAGTTTCATGAGGCTTTAAATGGCATACAGTGATCATAAATACAAAAAAGAAACCTCATTTAGAAGTGGGTTTCATGGCAGGATTCGCCTTCTCAACATGCCAGCATCCAGACACCACTGAATCATGCAATTCATTACCAGCTGGTAATGATAATGTGAATTCTGAGCCTAAAAATCAAAGTCACGTGGGATATAAAATTTTAAAAAATCAATAATAACGCCACTGAACACTAGTATCCAAATAACCGATTGTACCCGGAAAACTCCCGCAGACTTGCCCACAAAGCCAGGTCCTCCGCCCTCGGGTCCAACGGCCAGCTCGCCCTCCCGATTCCCGCGCCCAATTCCCACCTCCACACCTGGGAGATGGAGCCACGGGGAACCACACGAAATAACAGAACCACACGCGCCGCCTTCACCAACCCGAACTTATCGGCTTTGAAGGAGGGCACTTTAAGCTCAGGGAACCCTTTGGACCTCTTTTCCGAAGGGCTTCTCCGCCCTGGGCTCCTCGCCCTTCCTCTTCCACGGGCCCTCAATCCTCTCCCTCCACGTCCTCTCCTCCATCGCAGGAGCCTTACCACATAAAATAACAGGTTTCTGCTCTCCAACACTTTCACCGCCGAAGCTAAACAATCCTGTGAGGACTCGGGCTGAGGCGCAGGAAGGGACACTCGGCCCGCCACACGCTAACGCCGGCGAGCTGCTACATGTCGCCATTGAGACGTTTTTTTCTTTTTTGTGAATTGCCATTGTTATTCTTTTTTCTTTTTTTCTTTTTTTTTTCTTTTGCTACTTGTGTCTTTCTCTTCTTGGTTTAGATGTTTTCTATCATTAGTGATTCTCTTATTCTCGTGGGAGAATTGTTTGATTTTGTGCATTGTGGATTTGTTTTTCAGTTGTTTTTTTCATTTTGACATTTCAGTATCCACATTCAATTTGTACCGAATGTGAATATTTCATCATAAAGCGTTCAAAACACTCTCTTCACCTACAAATACAAATGTTTAAAGATCCCCTAGGAAATATTGGAGGGTTACCCTCATTTGATATATATATAATACCAGGAAAACTCATGACTCATATATATTTTAGGTGACTCTGATATTGATCAACTCAATCTAGTAAAGGTAAAATGTGTATTTGGAGAAGAAATCTTTCCTCCCTATGATACTTTACTATTATATATATATATATATATATATATATATATATATATATATATATATATATATATATATATATGACTATGAAACACAACCCTTTGATACTACTATAAAGAAGACATTTATTATCAATAACAAAGAAAATAACGATTATGAATGTAATGACAACGATAAAAGTTATGGTAGAAAATAAATGATAACGATAATGGTATTGCGATAATAATGTGTGATAACAGATACTAATCAATGCTGACAATGTTGATAATAATAACGATAACAATATCAACAACAACACAAGTGACAATAACAATGATGGTAATAATAATGAAAACATAACGATGATGATAATCAAATAATAAACTGATATTGATAAGATGATAATGAGAATGATGATAATTGTCATAATAGCAATATATATGAAAATATCATAATGACAATAACGATAATGATAATGATAACAATAATATAATAATAATAATAATAATAATAATATAATAATAATATAATAATAATAATAATAATAATAATAATAATAATAATAATAATAATAATAATAATAATAATAATAATAATAATAGTAATAATAATGGTAACAATAATGATAATAATAATGGTAACAATAATAGTAATGATAATAAAAATAATAATGATAAATGATAATAATGGTAATCATAGCAACACCAGCAACATTAATGACAATAATAATAATGAAAATGGTAATGATGATGGAAAAAATAATGATAATCATGATGACAATGATTACAATAAAAGGAGAGATGTCGATGATAATGAATAGTGATAAGTAATATAAATGATAATGATAATAACTATAATAATATATAATAATAATGATAATATGATAATAATAATAAGAATAATGTGATATGATAATGACTATGAAAATGGCAATAATGATATAATAAATAATATGAATAATACTGCTACTAAATAACAATAATTATATAATGATATAATAACAATAATGATAATAATAATGGTAAAATGATGATAATAATAATGATAAAATAATGATAATGATAGTAATAGTAATAATAATAATGATGATTATGATGATGATACTGATGTTGATTAAAATGATAATTACGAAAATAATGACGATAATAATAATGATAATGATGATAATAATGAAATGAATATTGATGACAATAGTAAGGATAATAATGTTAAGGATAATGATAATAATGAAATTAAAATAATGACAATGATAATGATAATAGTGATGATGATAACAGTAATGGCAATAATAACAATAGTAATCATGATAATAACAGTAGTATTAATAATGATAATAGTATAACAATTATAATAGCCATAATGATAATGATGTAATGTAATAATGATAATAACAATGATAGTAATGATAATAGTAATATCAGTGATAACGATCATAAAGTTATGACAATAACAATAATGGTAATGTTGATGATGATGATAACAATAATAAAGATCATATGCAATGATAGTAATAATAATGATGATAATACTAATAACAAAATTACATCACTGATAAAGATGATAATGATGTTGATCATTATCATTATTATCATTATTATCATTATTATCATTATCATTATTATTATTATTATTATTATTATTATTATTATTATTATTATTATTATTATTATTATTATCATATTATTATTATATTATTATTTATTATTATTATTATTATTATTATTATTATTATTATTATTATTATTATTATTATTATTATTATTATTATTATTATTATTATTATTATTATTATTATCATTATTATTATTGCATGACTATTTTCATTATCATCGTTATCATCGTCATTATCATGAATATCATCATCATTACAAATATCATTATTATTAATACTATTATTCTATCATCATTTATCATTACAGTTATCATTATAACTGTCGTTATCATCATCATTATCATTATCGTTATTACTATCATAGTTATCTTCATTATCATCACTGTTATCATCGTTATTACAAGCATTATTATTAGGACAATAACAGTACTAGCGAAGATTTTACTAACGCCATCTATGGATAGCAAAGAGAAACATTTGAATGAATTGCAAGATATTGCTAGACTCGAGATTTGATACCGGACGCATTTGGCATATATGGCTGAAGTTTTAGTGACCGCGAGCATATAAAGGAAAAGTGAGTCAGCGAATCATACAAATAACAGTTGATGTAATTAAATCTTATCATATTTTACAATTAGTTAAGGCCAATGTTTCAAAAAACATATGCAGATATTGGAGAATATGGACAGGATAAAACATTCAAATATTGATTGTCTATCATGTGCAAAGAAACACAGCACGGCTTTCTTTAGATATTTAGTAGAAATAATCTTTTAAGTTGATTCGACATGAAAAATTTCTATCAAAGAAAAATTTCTTTCAAGATTCTGCTTATTTTTTGATCCAGCTCTCTCTTACATTTTTCTTTTTTTTTACGTCCATGTTATCTACATCCTTCTTTTTATCCCAAAGAGCAAATATATCATTGATGTAAACCAAAAAGGTACGAAATAAATAAAAAGAACCCAAAACACACACAACTGGCGCGATAAACGATACGTTCGTGGAAAGTATTATCTAGTGTCAGCAATGGCGACTGGATGTTGTACGTAAAAGAGGTTGCTCTCCGGAAAAAGGGAATTCTTACTCGTTGAACATCCCCTTTTCAACTTCTAAATGTGAGTACACGATGGAGCAGCACTCGATGTCCTTCCGTAAGCCCGTGAGAAGGGACTAGAGTGGAACCAAGCCGCGAAATACGTCTTAAATAAGTGAGTTTGTTTGGCCTTGACAGATGTCCCAAGAAATTTTATTCGAAGAAAAAGGATTTTTTTATCTGATTTTTGCAGGCTGAACCTTCCACCTTTCCCGAGGTAAGTGGGCGAGGATACGCAAGTGTGAAATAGGTGCTGAGAGAGGGAAAAAGTCGGAAAAAGTAGTTTTTGAAAGCTCCAAGGCCATTTATGGACGAGGAAGAGAGAGAATGAGTGATGTTCTTGCGAGATGTTATTAATCTTATTCGATTTGTCATTTGCTCTTCGTCGGAATGGTGATGTTATTCAGTCTGTTTTTGTTGAGTTTTGGTGTTCATGTCTCTCATTACTGCGATGGTTGGTGTTATTTTGTGGCAGTAGCGGGATATTTGTTTTTTTTCTCATCTTTAAAAATATTTTGGAACTGATTCTTGGTGTAGAAAGTATTCTGCAATGTTTTTTCGTTTTGTTTTGGTTATTTTTCTACATCACTTTGCCATTTCTGGAATTAATGGGAATGAATAGTGATTTACTTTCTCTTTTTAAGTACCTTGGGCTAGTGTTTTTTTTTTGTAAATTTACAGTGGATAACAATCAGGGTTACAGTTAAAAAAAAAAAAAAAAGAAGTGTAGAATAATAGTGGCATCCAAAAGTAAATTGTTAAGCAGATAATTGTTTAGAAGACACATGTGCCCCTGGGTGCCTGCAAGTTGCTGACCAACGCAGCCTCCGCAGTTGTTAGCGCTCATGCCAAGGCTTGCAAACCTCCTTGATAGATATTTTGACAAGATAGAGCTCACTGCTTGAGACCTCTCTATTATTTTATCATTGATAAATGTTTCCGGCAGGACTGCACCTGTCAGAGACAGAATCCCTGATTCCCTTCAGCAATGTTGGGGAATCCCTTGAGGAATCGGGTTTGGGGGGGGCGGTTTCATTCATAGCAGGTATTTTGAAAAAAAAAATGAATATGGGAACTGAAAATTCAAACCAAGAATAGAATTTCACATGATAAAGA